TCGTTCTCCTGTCTAGGCCTGGGCATCCTGACAGTATCTTGCCCACACAATACACCATGATCTTTCCTTCGAACAATCTCTTGATGCTCTGGCCGTCGCAGAGGGTCAGAAACGTCGCCCTATCTGCTGCATCGAGCAGGGTGGATAGGGGTTTGGATGCTACTACTCAAGCCTTCCCGTCATCTTATTCCCCGTTTTACGCTTTTTCACTCTTATTGTCCCGTTCCAACTCCACGTTTATCCCCCCAGTTTTTAGCCCTTCGATCCTTGGCCCTCCCCCAAAATGTCTTGCTAGGCTTTTGTCTTCTAATTACAACTCACATGCAAACGCGGGGCGTCACTTCTTCCTTGTCGACAAGCCCATGTCCGACCAAGCGGTTCACCCCAGTTCATCGCCCTCCATTTGGAACCCTTGATCCTCCTTCAGATTAGCCTGCCTCAGTGTACGCACATGGATATAGCTCGGTAAACAGGCTGCACTTGCCCGAACATTAGAGACCCTCTCGATCAATACTGCTGCTTACCGGAGACTCGCCTACAAGACTCGAGCTCATTGCTCACTTTGCGATCCCATTCAGGTGACACCAGCAGCACTTTCTCATTGCGCCTATCCCGTGACGATGAAGCTTCAAGCACCGGTCAAACCGGTGTTGGTATTGCCCTGAGTCACCGGGCTGAAGCTTCTCTGGTTGATTGGATCCCAATCAGTAACCGGATGTGTGCGGTCCGCTTGGCTGGCTCGTTCAAAGCTTCGAAGTCGCGCGGGACTAATAGGTATCTATTCGTCATCGATGCCTACGCGTCTACAAACTCTAGCGATGATTCGGTAAAAGGGGACTTCTACCGCCAACTGACCGAGCACCTTCGCCACAGAAGAAGCACGGACACTGTTGTGCTGGCTGGGGATCTGAATGCACAAGTTGGAAAATTATCCATTGAGTCGGCCGGTGGCCGAGTGGTCTGCACGTTTGCTTTGCGACCATAAGGTCACCGGTTCGAATCCGCGTAGGGGTGGGCGTCCTCGCGGTATACTCAGCCCTCGCGCGACTGGCGGTGGTCGCGCGGTAGCGAAGCGCCGTTACGGCGTACAGCTGACATATTACTCATTTATTTTTATCCATTGATGAACTGCATCTGGGCGGCCAGCACGGTGTAGGCTGCCGTAATGGTAGTGGTGAGCGGTTATTTCATTTGTGTGAAGGTACCCGCTTATTTCTTGTGAGCGCTAAATCCCGACAGCCCCCGCCGCAGGGTGACATGGCGCCCACCAGCCTCGAACCAGCCTTGGACTCAAATCGATCACATTGTGATAAGTTACCGATGGAGAGGCTGCGTCCAGAACTGTCGCTCGATTTGGAGCACATGTGTGCACACTGACCATGCATTTGTATCTGAGGACATGCGGATACGTTTTGGCGGACGCTCACGCGACGCTGTGTGCGCATTGACACCAGTCGACTGACGAAGCTAGCTGTTCTGTATGCGTATCGAAATACGCTGACATGCGGACTGAGTAAGAGCTCACTGGAGACAATTGAAGGCCACTGGTCGCATGTTCATCAGACCTTACTAGCAGCAGGTAAATCCTCATGTGGTAGGTCTAATAGCCAACATGGACATTGGGTCTCTTCGCGGTCTCTGGAACTTATCGATGCTCGCCGGCATATTCCGGCTGGAAGCGAACACAATGAAACTCGCAAACAGCTCTGGGAAATCTCTGTGCTAACCTGAAGAGAGACCGAAAATCCTGGTGGTCTCTTCATGCGTCAGAAATGGAAGTGGCCGCTGCCCTTGGTAACCAACAGACGTTATTCCGTCTGATACGGGAAACGGGCAGCAGGAGACCTGTTGTTAGTGAAACTATACGTGACGAGATTGGACAGCCTATCCACAACTTGTCAAAATGTTTGGAGCGTTGGGCTGAGCATTTTGAAAAGCAATTTAATCGTTTGGAATTGTTCCATTCCTTACCGGCCAATGATCGCCCTGCTGCCTGGACTGTCCCTTTGAATCCGCCCTCTCGCTCAGCAGTCAAAGGTGAGATGGGGCTGTTGTAGTTGAACAAAGCCGCGGGGCCAGATGATCTTCCTCCAGCCCTCTTCAAATTCGGGGGGCTGCTCTTGTCGATGATTTATACGAGTTATTTGTCAAACTGTGGGAGCAGGAATTGGTCTCAACCGACTGGACCCGCTCCGTTATAGTTCCGATCTTCAAAGGAGGCTGGCGTTCGGAATGTGGCAGCCATAGAGAAATCAGTCTGATCTCCATCACCTCCAAATTACTCGCCTCTATAATTCCTCACAGACTGACTGGCGCTCATGAAAGCCAGATTCGTGAGGAGCAAGCGTGGTTTCGTCGGGGTCGTGGCTGCGTCGACCACATCTTCACCTTGCGTCAGTTGTTGGAGCACCGTCACATATATTGGCGCCCACCGTAGTCGTGTTCCTCGACATCAAAGGTGCCTTTGATTCGGTGGATCGATGTGCCCTTTGGGACTGTCTACTCAGAAAAGGTGGGTCCGAGAAACATGTAAATATTATCCGTGTAATATGCGCGTGTGGCAGGGGCAGAGTGAGGGCTTAAGGCAAACTGTCGCCGCCCTTCAGTTTCTCCAGTGGTGTGAGACAAGGATGCCCGCTGTCATCTTTCCTCTTCAACTTCGCTATTGACGAAGTCATGCAGATTGTATTCACAGGACATGACTTGGAACGTGTGGAGCTATTCCCAGGAGAACTACTTCTTGACTTGGAGTATGCGGATGATATTGCCTTCATCTGGGACAGCTCACAGATGTGCAAAGCTGCACCGGACAAATTAGTTGATGACTGTCAGCCGTTTCGGGCTTGGCTTTGCACCATCGAAGTGCAAAACTTTCCTCCCAGATTGGCAGGGATCGCCACCTGCGCTGACCCTTGGTGGGGATCAGCTAGAAGTCGTTCAGATATTCAACTTTATGGGAAGTTGTATTAGCGCCCGTGAGATTGAAGATGAGATCACGAACCGTATAACAAAGCTCCAGACGCTTTTGCTAACCTTTGCCACCTATGGCGGCGGTGCGACATCACTCTCTCCCTGAAGGGTAGAGTGTACCATGCAGCGGTACGTTTGATCTTACTGTACGATTGTGAAACCTGGTCTCTTAGATCAGCGAACATAAGGAGGCTAGTTACGTTCGACGACCAGTGCTTTCGCAGTTTGGCTCACCGCGGGAGCAATGATTGTGTCCTACGTATTGTTTATATCCCAGGAAAAGGAACTGAACCGCTCAACACCGTCATTTCACTCACCAGACTCCGATGGTTGGGCCACCTGTTGCGCATGCCAGCCCACAGACTACAGCGATGTGCGTTGTTTGCGCACCGGGGGTGGATGTAAGAAGAAGAGAGAGATGACCAAGCGATGACTTGGTCGAGAGGAATGAAGGCCCTCACTTCGAAGCTGGCCTCGGTTGCAGCGTCACGGCTCCCTGGTTGGGGTCCAAAAGACCATGAATACGTTTGGCTAGATACATTGGCTGACATGGCTAGGAACCTTCCTGCTGTGAGATTCCTTGTCTCTCCCCATCCCTTAGCCCTCCTCCAACCACGATCTCATTTCGTAGCATAATATAATTTTACATCTTAATTTTTTTGTTGCCTAATAGCCGGCAGGTAGCTTTCTGGAACGATGCCCCCGTCCGTTGCTGGCAGCTCAGCTGACATACAACTGTTGCATGTATTTTCTTTTGTTCGTTTATGTATTGCGGCACAGTAGCTGATGTGTTTTACACCTCTAGCTAACGTGTATAATTATGATGAATGATGAGGTGACCTATCAGCGATTCCGATTCCAGATTGTAAGAGAAATAAATCGATGTTCTGACACAATACCGGATGTTCGTTAAACGGTTGCTGGAAGCAAACAGGCTAATTCGTCAAGGTTGGAAAGTAGTGACCGTCCGTTTTATGTGCATCTGAAATTCACCACAAGGATATACCAGCGTGCTTCAATTGAGCCCAGTACCAGGGACTGATGGCTCCCACAAACATTACCCGCGGCTCACTGTAGTAGCAAAGACCTTCTTAGTCCGAGTTATACTTCGGCTAACTCTACGTGGTGGGTGTAAGCAAGCCCGAAATCGGTCGCAGTGTTCAGTGTTTCGTGCAAACTGCATTACTGCTTCCGACACGGTCCCTGTGAGCAAAATGATCGAGATTCACTACCAGGTGAATCGTAGAGTAATTAGAAATTGGCCCAATATGTCTTCAAGATGCCGTGTGAATTCATGGCTACGTGCAGGGTAGTTCTGACACATGAGAGACAATCACCATCATCTGCAGAGGCAATAGCCTCTTTAGCAGTAAAGGATTGTCCGCTTATATGACGGCCGGATTTCAATCCATGATGGCCAGCTATCATCCGCATGGCTCAGTGGCATAAGCTTCTGGCTAGTGGTGCAATCCACTCCCTGCCATGAGTTCAGTTCGTTGAAGGGGACCGTTGGAATGCGCACCAATGACGAGTCCCCAAGAGAACGAAACGGCCGTCTGGTGACTTACCGGATTGGTAGCTGGAATATCTGGCTTGTAATCCAATTGCGATGAACCAAAGAAATCTCACCAAAGGCATTCACGTAGACGAATCGCGGGGTAGTTGGAATAAAAGGCAATAAGATCAATGATGTGTCCAAGTTGGCCATACGTACTTACCTATTAGGAGGACGCGATATGACCGACAAGTTAGGAAACCACGCACTAGTTTTGCTCAACGCCAAGGTTAACGACAGTCGAAGTAACTCAACACAAGGGTGTGCTCCAGTTTCGACTGCCTTTTGGTTAAATTTGACCAGTTTAACAGTGAACTGACTAACGTAAGGTAAGTTGATCGCTCCCTTAGAGTTACATAGTGTAACTTAAGGTGGACCTATGCATGAGTAGGTAAATATCTCCTCCGCCATCCAGCTCGGTACAGTATATATTATATGGTCTTGTACTTCGATAACGCTGAAAATAGTATGTACTAACTATACTTTAAGACCATTTCAATGACTGGATGAGGACCGACGTGGTCGGAAGAAGCATAAAACCGAAACTTTCCAAAGTCGTCGCATCTCAGATAGACTACTCGCAGTAGTGTATTAAAAACGGGGAATATTTGGTGGGAAAGGTCAGAATGACAATATTTAAATGTAGTCACAGTGTGGGCTTTTGCTGATGTGGTAGTTCGAGATCTTCCGGCACTGGATGCACACGACTCATCCGCGTTCGCTTTCGGGCGAAATCGATTGCATAAACTGTGTCCAGGAAGCTTGGAGACGGACACCAGTACGATAGATCTCTGACTTCTTTCTTAACCTGAGCTTCATTTTCCAGTTGTCTTACAGTAGCATATGTAATCCTGTAACACACGAAACAGAAGACCGTTATGAAGGTCAGAGACAATTTATCCTCAAGGATACAGCATAAATTTCGAAAAATGATCGCTTTCTGGTGATTCGTATACAATAAAGTTTGTACAAAATGGTTGGGTAAGTGAAGTTGTAGTTCAGTCGAATACAACTGAGACGGGTTGAGTATGAAGGATTTATGGGTTCTCAATACATTCAACCTCATCCGAAGATGTTGATATATGTCTAGTGATCTATCTAACGCTCCTTTTATATTCACTGAGAATTTACAGTTGCGCAGGTGATGCCCTTACACAGCACGATTGTAGTGATCAGCACAGTGGTAGCTGCTTTCAAATCGTCATTCAGTAGGGACAGAAGCATCGTCGTATCCCAACCTATGGCTGGAGAATTACTTAGTTCGTTGGTCCATCAGTGGAAGGGTGACCAACTGACGCTTTGGTAGTCATCTTTTCATCGTCCTGTCGCTGATGTAGCCAAATTCACCGGCCCTCATTTTAAGCAGTGTAGTAGCAAATTTGGTAGCGCAAGACGGCCGGTCTGGTTACGCAGTGAAACGGCCAGCTTATTACACAGGTGAATACAATTAGATCCAGTCTCTGCGAGTAGCAGAAATTACGTGTGGCCTCCTCGACTGTGGCCTACCTAGGGATCTCACAAGGGTCCGAGTGCTGCTGAAATATCCCACGGAATTGTGATACGATGCATGAAGAGCAAATTGCTGTTACGGCCAGTGGACTGAACTCCCACTATTAAAAGAATATCGTGAGCGATGGCGGCCTTTAGACATACTACATCGGGCCCATCAGCGATGTCTCGGCTAGTCAAACTATTAAGCTTATTCCCATTCCAACATCACGTTATCTCGCTTTCGGATATGCACAAGTGATATTCCTTTCTCTCTTTACATTTGCTGCGCACTGATAACTGTTATCTCTTCGCTCCCGGAAAAGCAACTCGACTACACGTGGCAGTTCTTGCTGCTCCGTGAAGTCCATCTTTCCTACTAATTGCTCTACAACTAGATTGCCTGGAGTCACTGGACCTATATCAACATCGTTTATAAAACCAATTTCCTTATTTTTTCCATGTAATCCCTATTTACAACCTGAAGCAGAACTTGTCGAACATATACCACCCGTTTATCACTAGTTGTATTTCGCCACATTCTATACTTCTTCTTTCCATTGTTGTCTACGACTGGGCCGATCTTCTGAGGTGACGAAGTGAAGCTTCCACATGTGGCGAATTGTTACAGACATATTGGTGAAAATAAGATGCCTACTCAAGGCAAACCCGGGAGCTGTGCCACCGTCACTTATAACCCGGCCGCAGAGGTTACCGAGCGCAGTTCGCAAAGTTGTAGGCTCGAACCCTGGGGGGATTCGGGCTGGTGACATACTATTGACAAATTACAATGGGATAAACAGGGTATTCAGCAACTTTCTGTATGTATGCTGGCTGTGTGGCCACGTATAAACAGGGTGCATAGTTCCGGTACCGGTAGAGAACGAGCTCGTTAAGGCTTTGACTTTATCAAACTGCGGTAGTCACTTATATGAAACGGTGATCAATACATGGGCACGCTATGATGGGCCGCTTCACTTCACTTCAGCTTGTGCTACACAACATACTTGGGGGCATCAATGCGTACAAATGGCAACCTCTAACACTCCATGCAAAACTGTACGACCCTAACTCTACCGGGGACAGCGTTCTCCTGGACAGTCCGTCTCACTCTGTCAGAGCATGTAAGGTGCTTCAGGACACTGCACTGTATAATCGAACCCTTGACTTAAAATTCAACGTAACCGTCACGAAACGTTTATTGTCATATGTCCCAGGAGCGCGACAACCTGTTCTCTACTTACTGACCCTCTTTGGCTGCTGGTTAACGGGCTCCAGTCTACGGTTTCATGGTTGCCAGAGACGGTGAAGTGCAACTGAGCAATGCAACTGTGCTAATGCATTTGACCGAAAAAGATGTGCTTGTTACACTTCCATGGCTAGACGACAACAGATTGATTTACATAGTGATTGAGCGAACCCTTCGAGGTAGTTACCTTGAATCACGTCCGGACCGTCACCATAGTTCGTACTCATTTACGCACAACTTCCAGTGCCTCATGGACCTAGTCTCCTGCTTTCATGCAATGTCCTTGCACTGAATTAGTATGCTCTATTCTGGACTCCCACCAATCTGTCCTACGAAGCTGTGAAGCCTTTCGATTTGAGAGAAAAGAGGAAACCGACAATCCGCAGTGTATTTTCGCATCGATTGTGTTGATCTGAAATGTCAGCTTAGTGATTAGTCCAGCACGTTTCGTGGCAACGGAACCGGCAATGCCGACTATCCCACAAGCAGTCGGTGCTTGTGAGTAGCTTCAGCTATCGGTTTACTCCTTAGTGTTGAATTACGATGGACCGGCACCCTGCTCAAGTTAGATCATCTCAACCGCTTCAGACGAGGTTTGAATAAGTATCTCTATTCACTGCATCATGATTTGTCCGTCCCTGCCTGTTTACATGACAGCAAGAATGGGTATTCCTGGTTGGCAGAAACTAACAATATTTTCAGTCTGTCAAAGCTACTGTAACATTCTTAGCAGAATGAATATCTGCGTAACACTCAAGTTAACCTGTAGGGCATTGAACAAACTTTACCATTAGGCCACGCAGACGGGATTTGTTGTGGACACACGAGATGACATTTGGGAGTACTGTGTGTGATGGTGGCTGAAAGCTGGGGCGAACCGAATCGCCTGCCTCAGTGCAGTCGATGAGGCGATCGATAGAGTGGACGAGTGAGTTTTAAATGCACATCTAGTTGTACTTTGCCTCAGTTTGTGAGTAGAGCGTTTGTATGCAGAGTCGGTGCGAGTTCTTTCTGTCGACGCAGCTGGGTGAACCAAGCACAAAACATGGTGTCAGAGGTACAAACGTGCCAAATCTTGCTCGCCATTGAGGAGCAATCAACGATCTCATTACCAACCCCGCTGGAGATGAGAGAAAGCACATTATCGGACAACTGGAAAGTGTGGAAAGCGGCTTGGATGGAATTCGCGGCGCTGATCCAGTTGGATTAATATGCAAGATCATACCAGTTGGCAATGTTCCGCTACTCCATCGACTCTGAAGCAAGTCGGATAATGGAGTCCTGAGATCTTTGGGACAATGAACCGGATCTTCTGGAAATAATCGAGCGGTTTGAAGGATATTGTGAAGGTCGATCGTACTTTTTTACCCACTGCCGCCCAGCGGAGGAGAATTGTTCAGTCGAGCCTGAAAGCGATCAACAGTCGCAAGAGCGATTACCAAATAACTTGGAAAATCAGGTAGCTCAGCGTTGCATTTCTGCAATATCCCATATTAAATGATTACCAGTACCGTCAAGGGTTGATTCAAGAGCCACCGTGAATACGTCACGCGGGAATCAATACAGCGGAATGCAGTGCAGTGTGAAACTGAGTTGTCACAAAAGGCGGAACGACTTCACGGTGCACCCAAAAGGGAAGGCTGTGGTGGACACCCTCAAGAAAGCAAAAGATAAACTTATCGAAGTCAAAGCGACGCATGAGGATCCTTATCTAATGCAACTGTGAAGAAATACGCGTTCTACCGCATTCGGCAGCAGTCTAGTGCAGCTCCAGTGCAGTCATAAGATGGACCACAAGCTCGTCCGCAGTGGACGAGTATACGGAAACTGCAACACAAGCACTACGAAAAACAAGAAAAAGGAAAGGTTGTGATGGTTGCTGAAAGTTGGGGCGAACCGAATCGCCTGACTCAGTCAGGTAGCTAACGCGATCGAGCGAGTGGGCGAGTGAGTTTTTAATACGCAGCTACTTGTACTTTGCCTCCGAATTGTGAATACAGCGTTTGTATGCAGAGTCGGTGCGAGTTCTTTCTGTCGACGCGGCTGGGTGAACCAAACACAACACACTGTGTTGGCAACCGTTTCAGTTCTCATATTGCGCTAGGTGATAGGGATTACCTTTCTTGAGTCACACCTGTTGACTTCGGTATGGCTAATATCGAGTTCGAGTAACTCCATCCGGATCCATCAGCTCCTAGCGATCATTTTTCTTGCGTTACGTGAGACGATAAAATCCAGATCCAGCGTCCACAAGTTGTTAACTTCTGAAACATTGTATAGTTTATCGTCTTGGTTTACTCGAGTACCCATGCCGTAAGGGGCAAGAGCGCATGTGCCTGCTCCGACAAGACTACTCGGGATACCTACAGGTTTTGCAAACCTGCCTTGGCACTGTAGATGCGATGCATGCAATTTTCGATGTAAACAGACCACCAACTACAGCGCATCAGTGTTTTGTTTTGTTTTTGCGCACAAGCGGTGTTTTGATTACAGCATGCCATCTTTGTCTGAACCAAGGTCCACCTTGAAGCAAATTCGGAGGCATCAGCTTGCTCAATCCGCATCCCAATTTGATAGCAATTCTGTACCACTCGTCGCGAAACAATGCGCTCCATCTCTAGTTTCGTCCTTGTCATGTCTCACCAATTAAGATGAGTGAGAGCGTGGGGTGCTTCTGGTGGAACAAAAATCGTGTCCACTTCGGATGCAGCCCAAAGGATCGGAAAAACCAAGGATACCTTCATGGTAAATGGCGGTTCAAGCTAAGAGTATGTGAAAAACTGAATTACTTACAGCTGCATCAAGCGTTACCAACGGGGACAGATACCCTAGTGACAAAAGCGTTAGCCTCCATCTATTACTTTTCGAACTCAACTTCGGCCATCTTTAACTAAAGAGTCCAGGCAAAGTAGAGGTCGGTCGTAAATGACAGTGTTGGGCGTCAACAACACCGAAAAGTTTCAAATTCAACATTAAAATTGGCGGTTCTTGTTTGCCGATTTGTCAATCCTCTTAGTAGTGGATACCTGCAACTACAGAGTGAACACAGGAGACCTGAGCTGCGTTAATCCCGGCAAATAACACAGGACAGCAAAGCATCCAGGGATGAAACAA